TGCCTCTGGGTCCTGCTGGGTCCTGGGAGCGCAGGGGCCAGAGATCAACCGCCTCGTGGGTTGTGCGTGGTGCCGCACCTCCGTGAGGCCCCATGAAAGGAGTACCCCATCGCAGTCTCTGTTTTGGTGCTGGGCAAAGTGTGGGTGTAGGATGTGTGTTGTTGCTGCGGCAGCTGGTGCAGCCAGCGTCGGGGACAGAGAGCGAGCAGAGAGAAAGGTGGCCAGGGCAGCCCGTGGCGTGTTTGGTGGTGGGGACCGCCAGGGCCAGGCTCATGGAAGTGTCCCAGGCCTAGCATACCAGCACCTTGGTGTTGACCAGCATGCACGGGCTTGCTTCTAACCGGACCCTGACTGAATGCAAGCGGGAGAGAGCAGGGCCTTGGGGTGGGCGGTGAGATGGGGTCCTCTGCTGCAGAACCAGCCTCCTGCACGGCCCCCCACCTCCTGCATGTCCCCACACGGTCCCAGCACCACCCTGCCTGGACCATGGTCCCCAGAGGTCTCCGAGCTCTTTCCTTAACCTCCAGCCGCGGGTGCCCTGGTGCCAGGCATGCGTTGCTGAGGCCCCCGGTTGCATGGGTTGCCACTGCCACGCTGTTTTCCCCTGTGGCCCTGTGCCCTTGGGCCCAGAAGGGAGGCCGAGCGCCAGCAGTGGTGGCTGCTGAGGACCCGGGCCCCTCGGTCCTGCCCTGAGGCCCAGCAGCGCTCACCTCACTTCTTCCCCGTCCTGTCTCCTCAGGGCCAGGTCCGTGGCCCACATTTTCCCACAGAACGCCCGTGCCTACAAGGCTGCAGAAGTGCTGCATGACTGGGCCCCAGAGGCCAGCCCCATGCGCGTGGTCCCCAGCCCTAGCACAGCTGTAGAGGCACCACTGAGCTCGGCCGAGCCGGTGGAAGGTGAGTCATGTCATGGGATGCCGTGGGGCTGCCCTGCTCGTTCACGCATGGCTCCTGTGGTGTCCAGAGCCCCAGGACACGCCCCGAGCCTGTTGTGGGCCCAGGCGGGCATTGTTGGTGCTGGTGGCTGGAAGTTGTTCCCAAATCCCTCACCCTCTCGCGTGGCCCCTTTAGCCCTGACCTCCAGGGTGCGATGCCTGGCTGGAACGAGGTGGTGAGGCAAGGGTAGTTCCCTGGGCAATATGGAGCCGGATTCCTGACCTTGGCCAGGAGCGGGCGTGACCAGAAACCATGGGCTTGTGATTGAACGGTCGACCCGTGCATGAGAATAGCTGCAGATGTGCCGTGCAACCGGCCCCATTTGCAGTGCCCGTGTGTGTACCCCAAGAGGGCTTGCCAGCTTGCCAAGGCTACGGGTTCCTGGAGTGTCCAGCACCAGGCCCGCTGTGGACGGAGGGCGGGAGGGAGGAAAGGAGGGCACTGCAGGCTTTGAGAGGCCATGTGGCCAGCCATCGGTGCCAGGTTGTGCAGCGTGTGGGGGGCAGGTGCCCAGGCAGACTGAGGCATGAGCTGAGGGCATGGGTCTTCCATGGCTGCTGGGGCTAGCTCGTTGTGGACCCTCACGTGCGTTGGTCTCACTGAGGCTACCTTGCCCCTGCTTTACAGTGGACACCGTCGCCGCCTCCGATGGGCAACAGGCTGGCAATGACCAAAAGGCAACAGTGGGCACAGGCCGCACCGAGGTGGAGCCCGGGTAAGTGTGTGTGTGTGTGGCAGTGGCTGTGGCCATGAAACATGGCTGGCCAGGCCTGAGTGGAATGTGGGGTGTCCCAGGTGCCATTGGAGGAGGCGGCAGGCTGGGCTGTGGAAGGCTGGTTCCTGGTGTTCCAGGAAGGTTGCATTCTGCCCCTGCACTCCAACTCTGCTATGGTCAGGGCCCGCCAGGTCTGTAGAGGCTTTGGCACTGTGCCTTGCCAAGAGCTGTCCCTGGTGCTGGCTGTCAGCCATTTGTGTAGAAGCCCCCTGGGGTGCTGCCTGTGTGCCTCTGGGTCCTGCTGGGTCCTGGGAGCGCAGGGGCCAGAGATCAACCGCCTCGTGGGTTGTGCGTGGTGCCCCATCTCCGTGAGGCCCCATGAAAGGAGTACCCCATCGCAGTCTCTGTTTTGGTGCTGGGCAAAGTGTGGGTGTAGGATGTGTGTTGTTGCTGCGGCAGCTGGTGCAGCCAGCGTCGGGGACAGAGAGCGAGCAGAGAGAAAGGTGGCCAGGGCAGCCCGTGGCGTGTTTGGTGGTGGGGACCGCCAGGGCCAGGCTCATGGAAGTGTCCCAGGCCTAGCATACCAGCACCTTGGTGTTGACCAGCATGCACGGGCTTGCTTCTAACCGGACCCTGACTGAATGCAAGCGGGAGAGAGCAGGGCCTTGGGGTGGGCGGTGAGATGGGGTCCTCTGCTGCAGAACCAGCCTCCTGCACGGCCCCCCACCTCCTGCATGTCCCCACACGGTCCCAGCACCACCCTGCCTGGACCATGGTCCCCAGAGGTCTCCGAGCTCTTTCCTTAACCTCCAGCCGCGGGTGCCCTGGTGCCAGGCATGCGTTGCTGAGGCCCCCGGTTGCATGGGTTGCCACTGCCACGCTGTTTTCCCCTGTGGCCCTGTGCCCTTGGGCCCAGAAGGGAGGCCGAGCGCCAGCAGTGGTGGCTGCTGAGGACCCGGGCCCCTCGGTCCTGCCCTGAGGCCCAGCAGCGCTCACCTCACTTCTTCCCCGTCCTGTCTCCTCAGGGCCAGGTCCGTGGCCCACATTTTCCCACAGAACGCCCGTGCCTACAAGGCTGCAGAAGTGCTGCATGACTGGGCCCCAGAGGCCAGCCCCATGCGCGTGGTCCCCAGCCCTAGCACAGCTGTAGAGGCACCACTGAGCTCGGCCGAGCTGGTGGAAGGTGAGTCATGTCATGGGATGCCGTGGGGCTGCTCGGCCCCAGGGCTGCTCGTTCACGCATGGCTCCTGTGGTGTCCAGAGCCCCAGGACACGCCCCGAGCCTGTTGTGGGCCCAGGCGGGCATTGTTGGTGCTGGTGGCTGGAAGTTGTTCCCAAATCCCTCACCCTCTCGCGTGGCCCCTTTAGCCCTGACCTCCAGGGTGCGATGCCTGGCTGGAACGAGGTGGTGAGGCAAGGGTAGTTCCCTGGGCAATATGGAGCCGGATTCCTGACCTTGGCCAGGAGCGGGCGTGACCAGAAACCATGGGCTTGTGATTGAACGGTCGACCCGTGCATGAGAATAGCTGCAGATGTGCCGTGCAACCGGCCCCATTTGCAGTGCCCGTGTGTGTACCCCAAGAGGGCTTGCCAGCTTGCCAAGGCTACGGGTTCCTGGAGTGTCCAGCACCAGGCCCGCTGTGGACGGAGGGCGGGAGGGAGGAAAGGAGGGCACTGCAGGCTTTGAGAGGCCATGTGGCCAGCCATCGGTGCCAGGTTGTGCAGCGTGTGGGGGGCAGGTGCCCAGGCAGACTGAGGCATGAGCTGAGGGCATGGGTCTTCCATGGCTGCTGGGGCTAGCTCGTTGTGGACCCTCACGTGCGTTGGTCTCACTGAGGCTACCTTGCCCCTGCTTTACAGTGGACACCGTCGCCGCCTCCGATGGGCAACAGGCTGGCAATGACCAAAAGGCAACAGTGGGCACAGGCCGCACCGAGGTGGAGCCCGGGTAAGTGTGTGTGTGTGTGGCAGTGGCTGTGGCCATGAAACATGGCTGGCCAGGCCTGAGTGGAATGTGGGGTGTCCCAGGTGCCATTGGAGGAGGCGGCAGGCTGGGCTGTGGAAGGCTGGTTCCTGGTGTTCCAGGAAGGTTGCATTCTGCCCCTGCACTCCAACTCTGCTATGGTCAGGGCCCGCCAGGTCTGTAGAGGCTTTGGCACTGTGCCTTGCCAAGAGCTGTCCCTGGTGCTGGCTGTCAGCCATTTGTGTAGAAGCCCCCTGGGGTGCTGCCTGTGTGCCTCTGGGTCCTGCTGGGTCCTGGGAGCGCAGGGGCCAGAGATCAACCGCCTCGTGGGTTGTGCGTGGTGCCCCATCTCCGTGAGGCCCCATGAAAGGAGTACCCCATCGCAGTCTCTGTTTTGGTGCTGGGCAAAGTGTGGGTGTAGGATGTGTGTTGTTGCTGCGGCAGCTGGTGCAGCCAGCGTCGGGGACAGAGAGCGAGCAGAGAGAAAGGTGGCCAGGGCAGCCCGTGGCGTGTTTGGTGGTGGGGACCGCCAGGGCCAGGCTCATGGAAGTGTCCCAGGCCTAGCATACCAGCACCTTGGTGTTGACCAGCATGCACGGGCTTGCTTCTAACCGGACCCTGACTGAATGCAAGCGGGAGAGAGCAGGGCCTTGGGGTGGGCGGTGAGATGGGGTCCTCTGCTGCAGAACCAGCCTCCTGCACGGCCCCCCACCTCCTACATGTCCCCACACGGTCCCAGCACCACCCTGCCTGGACCATGGTCCCCAGAGGTCTCCGAGCTCTTTCCTTAACCTCCAGCCGCGGGTGCCCTGGTGCCAGGCATGCATTGCTGAGGCCCCCGGTTGCATGGGTTGCCACTGCCACGCTGTTTTCCCCTGTGGCCCTGTGCCCTTGGGCCCAGAAGGGAGGCCGAGCGCCAGCAGTGGTGGCTGCTGAGGACCCGGGCCCCTCGGTCCTGCCCTGAGGCCCAGCAGCGCTCACCTCACTTCTTCCCCGTCCTGTCTCCTCAGGGCCAGGTCCGTGGCCCACATTTTCCCACAGAACGCCCGTGCCTACAAGGCTGCAGAAGTGCTGCATGACTGGGCCCCAGAGGCCAGCCCCATGCGCGTGGTCCCCAGCCCTAGCACAGCTGTAGAGGCACCACTGAGCTCGGCCGAGCTGGTGGAAGGTGAGTCATGTCATGGGATGCCGTGGGGCTGCTGCCCAGGCTGCTCGTTCACGCATGGCTCCTGTGGTGTCCAGAGCCCCAGGACACGCCCCGAGCCTGTTGTGGGCCCAGGCGGGCATTGTTGGTGCTGGTGGCTGGAAGTTGTTCCCAAATCCCTCACCCTCTCGCGTGGCCCCTTTAGCCCTGACCTCCAGGGTGCGATGCCTGGCTGGAACGAGGTGGTGAGGCAAGGGTAGTTCCCTGGGCAATATGGAGCCGGATTCCTGACCTTGGCCAGGAGCGGGCGTGACCAGAAACCATGGGCTTGTGATTGAACGGTCGACCCGTGCATGAGAATAGCTGCAGATGTGCCGTGCAACCGGCCCCATTTGCAGTGCCCGTGTGTGTACCCCAAGAGGGCTTGCCAGCTTGCCAAGGCTACGGGTTCCTGGAGTGTCCAGCACCAGGCCCGCTGTGGACGGAGGGCGGGAGGGAGGAAAGGAGGGCACTGCAGGCTTTGAGAGGCCATGTGGCCAGCCATCGGTGCCAGGTTGTGCAGCGTGTGGGGGGCAGGTGCCCAGGCAGACTGAGGCATGAGCTGAGGGCATGGGTCTTCCATGGCTGCTGGGGCTAGCTCGTTGTGGACCCTCACGTGCGTTGGTCTCACTGAGGCTACCTTGCCCCTGCTTTACAGTGGACACCGTCGCCGCCTCCGATGGGCAACAGGCTGGCAATGACCAAAAGGCAACAGTGGGCACAGGCCGCACCGAGGTGGAGCCCGGGTAAGTGTGTGTGTGTGTGTGGCAGTGGCTGTGGCCATGAAACATGGCTGGCCAGGCCTGAGTGGAATGTGGGGTGTCCCAGGTGCCATTGGAGGAGGCGGCAGGCTGGGCTGTGGAAGGCTGGTTCCTGGTGTTCCAGGAAGGTTGCATTCTGCCCCTGCACTCCAACTCTGCTATGGTCAGGGCCCGCCAGGTCTGTAGAGGCTTTGGCACTGTGCCTTGCCAAGAGCTGTCCCTGGTGCTGGCTGTCAGCCATTTGTGTAGAAGCCCCCTGGGGTGCTGCCTGTGTGCCTCTGGGTCCTGCTGGGTCCTGGGAGCGCAGGGGCCAGAGATCAACCGCCTCGTGGGTTGTGCGTGGTGCCCCATCTCCGTGAGGCCCCATGAAAGGAGTACCCCATCGCAGTCTCTGTTTTGGTGCTGGGCAAAGTGTGGGTGTAGGATGTGTGTTGTTGCTGCGGCAGCTGGTGCAGCCAGCGTCGGGGACAGAGAGCGAGCAGAGAGAAAGGTGGCCAGGGCAGCCCGTGGCGTGTTTGGTGGTGGGGACCGCCAGGGCCAGGCTCATGGAAGTGTCCCAGGCCTAGCATACCAGCACCTTGGTGTTGACCAGCATGCACGGGCTTGCTTCTAACCGGACCCTGACTGAATGCAAGCGGGAGAGAGCAGGGCCTTGGGGTGGGCGGTGAGATGGGGTCCTCTGCTGCAGAACCAGCCTCCTGCACGGCCCCCCACCTCCTACATGTCCCCACACGGTCCCAGCACCACCCTGCCTGGACCATGGTCCCCAGAGGTCTCCGAGCTCTTTCCTTAACCTCCAGCCGCGGGTGCCCTGGTGCCAGGCATGCGTTGCTGAGGCCCCCGGTTGCATGGGTTGCCACTGCCACGCTGTTTTCCCCCTGTGGCCCTGTGCCCTTGGGCCCAGAAGGGAGGCCGAGCGCCAGCAGTGGTGGCTGCTGAGGACCCGGGCCCCTCGGTCCTGCCCTGAGGCCCAGCAGCGCTCACCTCACTTCTTCCCCGTCCTGTCTCCTCAGGGCCAGGTCCGTGGCCCACATTTTCCCACAGAACGCCCGTGCCTACAAGGCTGCAGAAGTGCTGCATGACTGGGCCCCAGAGGCCAGCCCCATGCGCGTGGTCCCCAGCCCTAGCACAGCTGTAGAGGCACCACTGAGCTCGGCCGAGCTGGTGGAAGGTGAGTCATGTCATGGGATGCCGTGGGGCTGCTCGTTCACGCATGGCTCCTGTGGTGTCCAGAGCCCCAGGACACGCCCCGAGCCTGTTGTGGGCCCAGGCGGGCATTGTTGGTGCTGGTGGCTGGAAGTTGTTCCCAAATCCCTCACCCTCTCGCGTGGCCCCTTTAGCCCTGACCTCCAGGGTGCGATGCCTGGCTGGAACGAGGTGGTGAGGCAAGGGTAGTTCCCTGGGCAATATGGAGCCGGATTCCTGACCTTGGCCAGGAGCGGGCGTGACCAGAAACCATGGGCTTGTGATTGAACGGTCGACCCGTGCATGAGAATAGCTGCAGATGTGCCGTGCAACCGGCCCCATTTGCAGTGCCCGTGTGTGTACCCCAAGAGGGCTTGCCAGCTTGCCAAGGCTACGGGTTCCTGGAGTGTCCAGCACCAGGCCCGCTGTGGACGGAGGGCGGGAGGGAGGAAAGGAGGGCACTGCAGGCTTTGAGAGGCCATGTGGCCAGCCATCGGTGCCAGGTTGTGCAGCATGTGGGGGGCAGGTGCCCAGGCAGACTGAGGCATGAGCTGAGGGCATGGGTCTTCCATGGCTGCTGGGGCTAGCTCGTTGTGGACCCTCACGTGCGTTGGTCTCACTGAGGCTACCTTGCCCCTGCTTTACAGTGGACACCGTCGCCGCCTCCGATGGGCAACAGGCTGGCAATGACCAAAAGGCAACAGTGGGCACAGGCCGCACCGAGGTGGAGCCCGGGTAAGTGTGTGTGTGTGTGTGGCAGTGGCTGTGGCCATGAAACATGGCTGGCCAGGCCTGAGTGGAATGTGGGGTGTCCCAGGTGCCATTGGAGGAGGCGGCAGGCTGGGCTGTGGAAGGCTGGTTCCTGGTGTTCCAGGAAGGTTGCATTCTGCCCCTGCACTCCAACTCTGCTATGGTCAGGGCCCGCCAGGTCTGTAGAGGCTTTGGCACTGTGCCTTGCCAAGAGCTGTCCCTGGTGCTGGCTGTCAGCCATTTGTGTAGAAGCCCCCTGGGGTGCTGCCTGTGTGCCTCTGGGTCCTGCTGGGTCCTGGGAGCGCAGGGGCCAGAGATCAACCGCCTCGTGGGTTGTGCGTGGTGCCCCATCTCCGTGAGGCCCCATGAAAGGAGTACCCCATCGCAGTCTCTGTTTTGGTGCTGGGCAAAGTGTGGGTGTAGGATGTGTGTTGTTGCTGCGGCAGCTGGTGCAGCCAGCGTCGGGGACAGAGAGCGAGCAGAGAGAAAGGTGGCCAGGGCAGCCCGTGGCGTGTTTGGTGGTGGGGACCGCCAGGGCCAGGCTCATGGAAGTGTCCCAGGCCTAGCATACCAGCACCTTGGTGTTGACCAGCATGCACGGGCTTGCTTCTAACCGGACCCTGACTGAATGCAAGCGGGAGAGAGCAGGGCCTTGGGGTGGGCGGTGAGATGGGGTCCTCTGCTGCAGAACCAGCCTCCTGCACGGCCCCCCCACCTCCTGCATGTCCCCACACGGTCCCAGCACCACCCTGCCTGGACCATGGTCCCCAGAGGTCTCCGAGCTCTTTCCTTAACCTCCAGCTGCGGGTGCCCTGGTGCCAGGCATGCGTTGCTGAGGCCCCCGGTTGCATGGGTTGCCACTGCCACGCTGTTTTCCCCTGTGGCCCTGTGCCCTTGGGCCCAGAAGGGAGGCCGAGCGCCAGCAGTGGTGGCTGCTGAGGACCCGGGCCCCTCGGTCCTGCCCTGAGGCCCAGCAGCGCTCACCTCACTTCTTCCCCGTCCTGTCTCCTCAGGGCCAGGTCCGTGGCCCACATTTTCCCACAGAACGCCCGTGCCTACAAGGCTGCAGAAGTGCTGCATGACTGGGCCCCAGAGGCCAGCCCCATGCGCGTGGTCCCCAGCCCTAGCACAGCTGTAGAGGCACCACTGAGCTCGGCCGAGCTGGTGGAAGGTGAGTCATGTCATGGGATGCCGTGGGGCTGCTCGTTCACGCATGGCTCCTGTGGTGTCCAGAGCCCCAGGACACGCCCCGAGCCTGTTGTGGGCCCAGGCGGGCATTGTTGGTGCTGGTGGCTGGAAGTTGTTCCCAAATCCCTCACCCTCTCGCGTGGCCCCTTTAGCCCTGACCTCCAGGGTGCGATGCCTGGCTGGAACGAGGTGGTGAGGCAAGGGTAGTTCCCTGGGCAATATGGAGCCGGATTCCTGACCTTGGCCAGGAGCGGGCGTGACCAGAAACCATGGGCTTGTGATTGAAGGGTCGACCCGTGCATGAGAATAGCTGCAGATGTGCCGTGCAACCGGCCCCATTTGCAGTGCCCGTGTGTGTACCCCAAGAGGGCTTGCCAGCTTGCCAAGGCTACGGGTTCCTGGAGTGTCCAGCACCAGGCCCGCTGTGGACGGAGGGCGGGAGGGAGGAAAGGAGGGCACTGCAGGCTTTGAGAGGCCATGTGGCCAGCCATCGGTGCCAGGTTGTGCAGCATGTGGGGGGCAGGTGCCCAGGCAGACTGAGGCATGAGCTGAGGGCATGGGTCTTCCATGGCTGCTGGGGCTAGCTCGTTGTGGACCCTCACGTGCGTTGGTCTCACTGAGGCTACCTTGCCCCTGCTTTACAGTGGACACCGTCGCCGCCTCCGATGGGCAACAGGCTGGCAATGACCAAAAGGCAACAGTGGGCACAGGCCGCACCGAGGTGGAGCCCGGGTAAGTGTGTGTGTGTGTGTGGCAGTGGCTGTGGCCATGAAACATGGCTGGCCAGGCCTGAGTGGAATGTGGGGTGTCCCAGGTGCCATTGGAGGAGGCGGCAGGCTGGGCTGTGGAAGGCTGGTTCCTGGTGTTCCAGGAAGGTTGCATTCTGCCCCTGCACTCCAACTCTGCTATGGTCAGGGCCCGCCAGGTCTGTAGAGGCTTTGGCACTGTGCCTTGCCAAGAGCTGTCCCTGGTGCTGGCTGTCA